TATAATGATACTAATAAAAATGACCATAGTAGTGAAAATAATGATAATGATTTAATGAAAATAAATAGAATGATGATAACAATAATAAAATAATAATAATACTGAGTTATATAAATAGAAATAATGTTGAGAACAAAAATGATAATGATATTGATAATATTGACAATGATAATAATAATATAATAATAATAATAATAATAATAATAATAATAATAATAATAATAATAGTAATAATTCATACTATACTATCATTGTTACTATTATCATTATCATATTATTATTACTATAATCATCATAATCATATTACTATTATTACTATAATCATCATAAGTGTTAGTATTATTATCATTATTATCATGTTTATTGTTATAATAATAATAAATGATAACAATGATAATATTGATGATAATCACACACATACACAACATATTTCTTACATTTTTTTCATTAGAAGATATCTAGTCCTATACTTTTCATTCAGCTTTTCCCCAAAGAGGAAAGGGAGAAGTTTAGATATATTCTGTCACAGCTGCGTTGTGAGCGAGGTTGTTACCCCTTTCACTTCACTTACTGAAGTGAATGGGGTAACTACCACTTTTGTTGTTGGGTCTCTCTCTCTCTCTCTCTCTCTCTCTCTCTCTCTCTCTCTCTCTCTCTCTCTCTCTCTCTCTCTATATATATATATATATATATATATATATATATATATATATATATATACATATATATATACACATAACTACACATACACCCATCCACACACACACTCACACACGCATACATACATACACACACACACATATGTATAATATATATATATATATATATATATATACATATGTACATATATATCTATATCTATTATATATACATGTATATAAGTACATATGTATATTATATATATATATATATATATATATATATATATATATAATATATATATATATATATATATATATATAATATATATTATATATTATATATATAAGTAGAAGTATATGCTAAATGTAGAAAAGGTATGAATGAGACTGGAGATATCCAGTCTCATTCATACCTTTTCTACATATAAGTACATATATATATCATCATATATTACATTGGCATTGTGTGGGAATACCATAGTTCTTAATTTGCCTTTGAAATGAATTTAAATGAAAAGTACACCAAAAGTAATCTGTGAAAAAAAAATCCTCTGTTCTGACGACAAATGATACCCATACGACCAGAAAAGAAAGAAGAGAGAAAAAAAAGAAACACACAATTAACCCTTTTTTTAATTAACTTGTTGAATTCTACATGACCTGTCATCGAAAAGTAATTGCTGTTCTGGGTGGTGAACATTTAGCTCTGAATTCGTTTTACAAATGTCATTACGTTTAAACTTCTCTCTTAGCTGATAACGGTTCTACCTTATGATCCATTGTTATTTATTTATCATTTGGGGGAAATAAATTCGCTGTGGTTATTTAATTGGATATGGAATTATCTCTTATAGGTGCGCCTAAAAGAATGTAAGAAGCAACAATACTAATAAAATTCTTAGAAAGTTTAAAATAAATTTTTCTAACCGTTTTCGTTTCCCGCCCATGGAAGTCGGTTACGTTTTCTTTGACATTTGTAAAGACGAGGAAGAGAATGTAGGAATGAAAATTGCGGCATAAAATATGTACATGTCTGATTTTTGTAAAGGGGGTAAGTTCGGTATTCATTTCAAATTCAGTAGAAATGTCACATTGCCTATTTAAATTAGAATGTGTGTGTGTGTGTGTGTGTGTGTGTGTGTGTGTGTGTGTGTGTGTGTGTGTGAGCGTGCGTGCGTGCAGATAAAATGTTATGTATGTTATCTTTTACTCATAGTCCTAAAAAGTATGTAGCGCATGTTGCATACCATCAAATTTGTCCCTTTTTTAAAGATCCACAATATAAGCAAAAAGTAAAATTTTCATCATGTATTCCATTGTATGAGCATGACGTATTCCATAACAAATATTTTGTCCGTTAACCTAAGATATCAAGAAAGTCTAGCCAGTGGTTCCCAGCCTATTCTATGGCCCCGGTAATCATCTCAGTGACTGCCATCTCTTCAGATTCAGTTATTACTTGTTATGAATAGTGTAATGGTGTCTGTAGCTATGGGACAAGAACACTTTATATAAAGATTCCAGTTCATTGATATGCGAGAGATAATTATATATAGGTACTGTAGGTGAGATAAAATTCAGTTTAGTTTGGTCATAATTTTCACAGGTTAAGAACTCGGATTATAGATGGCAATCAGGATAATGAATAAATAAATAAATAAAAAATGGAATGTTCGTGTAATTTTACTTTTTCTTTTTTTCTTTTCGTGTCTGTGTGTACGTGGGATTTGAAATTTGTTTGAGTATGTTGTCCGCATGTGTTTGTGTTTTGACGTCCAGTACAGTGAAATTCTGGGAGGGACTTATAACATATGTGGCGAATTTAAAAGCACGTCAAAATACTTCGGTAGAAAAATACTTAAAGAATAACCTCCCGTCCACCACAACTGCAACTAATAATAATAATAATAATAATAATAATAATAATAATAATAATAATAATAATAATAACAACAACAACAAGCAGTTAATCATTTTCTTACACTGTTCATTCTGTGTGTGATCGCAGTCGCCACCGTAATCCATTTGAAGGATAATTCCATTTTACTATATAACTGGATAATAGAGTTCTAAGACATTGTTATATTGTGGGAATAAGTCGTGATGTAAAAAGTGATGTGGTAGTTTCCTTGTTTACTTGTTATAATTTGTTTTTAGGATTTGTTATTTCCCTTACACGTTTGCCCACCACCTCCGCCTATCCTGAAGTTCCTGAACGCCGAAAGGGTGTAGGATTCCTTCATGCATTCGAGTTTGGAGGCGAATCCCGTAGTGTCGGCCAAGTGGCTCCGGTCTTCGCTTGGGCCATCTGATGCTGTTCGTTATATTGTGAATTATGATGATCGTTATTGACGAGTGTGAGTGTTGGACAGACAATTTTATGCTCTATCGCAAATTAAGTTTCTCTTTAAGGATATTTTCCTCTTATTTTAAGGATATATGTGTAAAATTGATTAGAACAACGATCTTTCTTATTCTTTTGTTTGTCTTTGTTAGGCCGTAAAAAAGTCAGCCTCAGGATCCATACGTTACACATTTTCTCGCCCGTGAGGTTGCTCTACCCGACAAGCACGCCCAAACCCGCTGGTACAGTCCTCGGAAAGGTTGTGCGTGGTTTGTTTATTGCCCAGAGATGGCGCTGCGATAGATGAGTGGTAGTTCATTGACACCCTCGTATTTTCCTGGATCTCGTTGATTCAAACACATGTTTGAAGTAATGTAATGAATCCCTACAACCTCACTCTGGCCTCCCTCCCTCCTCCATTCAGGAATCCGCCCCGTTACTACACAGCGACTGCAGCGCCATCTCTGGGCAATAAACAAAACACGCAAAACCTTTCCGAGGACTTTGGTCCCAGACTGTACGGCTCCACCCACCTTCCTGTATTCGGTCGCCGGATCGAACCTCCCACCAGAGACAGGTTCGCTCACCCTTCTATCTGAACACTTTATCTCATTCCCTGCTTTATGTTGGGATTGTTTTCATTATTAGTATTGCTCCCATTATAACCATTATTATGATGACCATTATTGTTCTGCTTATCATTATTGTAATAATAGTGATAATAATAATAATGATAATTATAATAATAATTTTCATCATCATTACTAATTCCATTAACTATTATAAATTTTATTATTGCCTTTATTATCATTATTATCATTATTATTAATATAATTCTTATTACTACTACTACTATCATTATCATCGTCATGATTATTATTACCTTCATTATTATCATCATAATTATTATGACTATCATTATTATCATCATTATTAATATCATTAATACCATTATCATGATTATCATTATCATTAATATCTAATTGTTATCATTACTCTTACTATTATCATATTTATAATCATAATTATTGTTATTATTATTACTTATTAATCATATCTATTATCATTATATTATCTGTATCACTATGAATAACCTCTCCGAAAGGGATATATATATATATATATATATATATATATATATATATATATGTATGTATATCACTATCACTATCTTCATTATCATTATAATCATTAACACAATGTTGATCATCATCAATATCTTTATTAAATCTATCATTGTTATTTTCATTATTCTATTATCATTATTGTTATGATCATTACTAATGCAGTTATCACTATCCTCATTATTTTTATTACTATTATTATCCCCATTATTATAATTACTATAGTCATCGTCATCATTATCATCAGTAATAGTAGTAATGTTATTAGTATTTGTATTATGATGATGATCATCTTTATTATCATTATTGTTATTAATATATATTACCAATTATATTGCTATTGTTATTATCATTGATATTATTATCATTGCCCTTACTAATATTATTATTATCATTATTTTTATTATTATTATTATTATTATATTATATATATATATATATGTGTGTGTGTGTGTGTGTGTGTGTGTGTGTGTGTGTGTGTGTGTATGTGTGCGTGTGTGTATGTGTGTGTGTGTGTGTGTGTGCGTGTGTGTATGTGTGCGTGTGTGTGTATGTGTGCACGTGTATATATGTACGTATGTATGAATGTATAACGACAAGCTAAACAAATAGGAAGATGTTAGTAGGTTAGTTAGTATCAACTAACGTTCGGTGGATCCTCAGTCGACGAATCTGGTAAGTTAATGAAATATTCTAAATGCCGTTAATTGTCAAACTCCGTAATTTTGGGTTGTGTTGAAATTAGGTGAACGTTAGAAGTGATTTTTATCTTTCATTTCTTCATAGCCATTTTTTCTTTGGTAAAGTCCACGCGATTGCGCACTTCACAGGCTCCTCCTCCTCTCTGCTTAGCTCCGCCCACAATCACACTCCGGTATTTTGAACTCGATG